ATTTATATTAACATTTTGGAAATACTTTCTGTGTTGTTGATAATTTTATACAGTTCAAATAAAACTTTTTGTCATTTTCATGTAAACTTTACAATTTAGTTTGAATTTCAATATGCATTTTCTTTCTTTTAATACACATTTCGTTTGTGACCTTATGGTAATATATATTTATTTATATATTAATTTCACTTTGTACTTTTTACAAACATATTCTCATATCCCTGTGACTGTGACCAATAAAAACTCCATTTGCAAGCGTATTTCAACTTCGTTTTGCTGTTGACACATCCTCACTTCCTTTTCGTCCTATTTCACTTTACTGATTTTCCCAATCATTTTCGCGAGTGCGCCACCGAGAACAAAGCCATCCCATTGCCGCCCCGCCCCACTCTCTCCAATTTCAACCTCTGCCGGCACTTCCGTCGCCGACATCGTGCAAACAAATGCGCATAAAAATCCATTATTTTAGCAAACACAACACGCGCACACACAGTCTCGTACTCACCCCCATCCTCACACCCTCGTCCTTCCACAATGGCAATGCATTGCCTTGCAGAGGACGAGGGCCAGCTACAAACCATTTTTTTGCTGTGCGCAAAATAAATATAAAAGCGTTGAAACGAAAACATTTTGGAACAATATAAAAATTGCAAAAACGAACTCTTTTGGGGGTGCGAGGTGTCCAAGTGGCGTGGGCAAGAGGCTGGGAAAGGTACTGGGACCTGAAAAAGAAGGACGAGGGCCGGCGTTTATTGGCAACAGTGTTGCTATTTGTGTAAACGACTCGTAAAATTTTATGCTGAAGCAGTTTCATAGTAGTGGAGGTGGCTTTTTTCTTCTTTTCTGCGTAATTCCCAGCCCTTGGCCTGGCCCCCAGTTAAGTTACCACCGACACGTGTTGGGTCAGGGTTCAGGGATCAGCGGTAGGCACACAGAAAAGAGCGCAAAACGATTGCAAACACTGATCACCATTATGCGGGAGGCGGAAGGCCTTATCTACCCATTGCCTCGATCCTGTTCCACCTCCCTTTCGCCAGATGTGCGGTGCATTTTCCCCTCGATTTGTTTTGTTGTCAGTTCCAGCACAACTGACATCTATTTTATGTTGCAGCTGCATTTCAATTTCGCCCTCCCCGAGTGGAATACATGTAAATATTGGATATTGATTGCATTTCGCTTCGCCTGCCAACTTGTCAATGTCAACAAAGGGGCGCGGGGAAGCGGGAAAAGTGCGTGATAGATCGCTCAACAATGGCGCCAGCGGAAAAGTGGAAAACTTTTATTGAAATTCATTAGTCGAGCGCCGAAAAACTTTGCATATTTACTTCCGTCCTGTCATATAATTTCCCGTCTGTCTTTTTCTGCGGATTTAATGAAGTGCAGCTGACATTTGGCTGTAATTATGACTGGCACACTGGGGGAAAAATTGCAACTGTCACCGAGTATTCGTATCACGGTGAAATGCAGGACACGACTGCTACTCCTACCCTCGACCCTCAGTTCGGGCGGGAAGGCACCAGAGCAAAGATTTAATTTGCTGATGAAGTTCGTTTGTCTGCAGTCCCTTCAGCTGCTGTTTGCTCCCCGAAACCAGCTCCCTGCTATGCAAATAGTCCTGTCACTGCTGGCAAATATGATCCACTGCCGAATTGGTCGAGCTGGGGGTCCAGCTAGCCATGTGTGTGCTCTGGATTCTGTGCCCCAAATTAGAAACAAATTTGTTTAATTCAATAAGAAAGTTGATTAAAAGCAATGCAGGCTAATGAGACATGGCATGTGCAGTCGGTGGGGAGATTCAATTACTGCATTCCCTGCTGAAAATATTCAATATCTGTCTGGCAGATGGAACTCTTTTAATTTCAAATGAAAGGCACATTCAAAGCCAAGCCGAAAAACCTTCATGTTTCCCTGCTTACTTGTCATTGAGGTCGCAGAACCGCATAATTTCGTTGCTCTCCGGATGAGTGTCCTGCTGCATATATTCGTCCTCGTGTTTGGTTTATTTCCCCGGATATCAGGGACGCCCAAATTTCTGAGTGCTGGGAGGAAACGGCTTAATCTCGTTACCAACGAGTGGAAATATGGCTAGGGCAAGGGTTAAAAATTAATGACGCGTTCCGGGACCCAATACAAATGTTGTCAAAGGCATCAAAGTGCCTGCCCACACACACACGCGCGCACCCTAACTCGCACTCGCTACGTGCGGAGAATGTTTCCAATTAAGCCAATCGAGCTGCAAAAAGCAGGCCGTGAAGGGAAGGGAAGGGGCCTGGGAGTTGGCGCGTAATTAAAATTTAATTTGCGCCCAAAATTAGACTATGAAATTTCAATAAGGCGCCTCGGATGCTCGGGCGGAGCAAAAGCAAATATTGTACTGCCAAAAAAAGCAAATGGTAACAAAGTAAATTGGTTACATTTTGCAGCGAAAATCCCTTTGATTAAACGCAGCCAAGTGGATGAGTAGAGGACGAGGGTGTAACCTACACAAAGTAGAATATTTTTAATATCACAGGATCGATATATGAGCCTTTATATCATAATTTTAGCTAATAATACTTTAAAACTTTTAATGTTAAGTAGCTTTTTTTTAAATACCTGGCACTAGCAGTTAATATTTTATTTTATAATAGTTAAAGCTTCAACATAGTCGCAAAGCTATCCGACTTGATTTCGTTCTGTGCATGCCGGGCTTAAATAAATAACCAAGTGGCTGCTTAGCAGCCAAGATACAAGACAAACATGGCGACACATGCGCTTCCGTCCGCTTTTCCCTTGGCCTCGTGGCAAGCCGGGCGCATAAATTGTCAAAACGAAGTGTTTGGATTAAGCTGGGAGTTGTGCTTGCGGTGCGGAGCAGACCGTGACCTCGCCCAGCCGCAGTGGCTAAGACTGCACCGCCTTCCCGCTCCGCCCACCTCCTGCTGGCCAATTTATTTATTCGCATTTAAAACTGATTTATGTGCGGGGCAATAGCGACAGCTTCTTCCCCCCTTTTTGGCCAGGAACCACGTGAGTTGCGTCTTTAATTTAGCTGCCAACCAAATCCTGAAACGTTGAGCCAGCCATTCTCCCTGCCCACATCCGCCTTCTAGGCAACCACGGCATTGCCCACAAATGCATTTTCAATGGAATTTCTCACTTGCTAACGTGTGTTGCTTCGTTTGGCTCCCGGAGCTCCACTTGCGTCGGAGCTGCCAGCGATTTATGTGCCACGTTTTCCCCCCTCGGGCTGCTCCGCTTAAAGTCGGACTTACCTTAAATCTGTTTTGGCACAATATAAATACCCACACACTTCGATTCCCTTTTTTCCAGCCTCTCTGCCCGGATGCCAGGCAACCGAGCCAAAAGAAGCTTTACATGGTGCACACTCCCTGGGAAAATCTGTTATCGCATTAACAATTTCCTACTAATTTCGACGCACAGACAGGGTCGCTTGGCGGCGAGGGGGGATCCAGTAAATATAATTAAATTGCGTGCAAAACTAACCAGCACTTGGGGGAGGAAGTGTGCCATGAAAGGTATAATGCTCGCCTAATGCTCTTACCAGCGAATAAAAGTTGTCGAAACTGAATAATTATCTATTTCGGTGACTTTTATAACAAAATGGAATTTAATTCATATTTTAACAGTACCTAAAAAGAAAATAAAAATACATTTAAAATATATATTTTAGGCTATGTTTATAAATACGAGACTCACAGCGAATGTGATCCTTGGAAAGAGTGTGACGCATGGCCATAATAATTTTATTAGGAAGCAGCCTTGCTGGGCAACAAAAATCAGTAGCATAAGCCTTAATATATCCCACTTGTATTTAAGTAATTATGCCAGAAAAAGTCCCTGAAGCGGGGCAATACCACAACCTAAACATGTGTGTGTGTAAGTGCCGGCTTTAATATTAGCTTTCTCATTTATTCACAAAAATCTGTAATATATATACATTGACAAGGCACAGGTATAAAGCATGTTATTTATGCTGCCGACGGCAATTCACAAAGCGAACTAAGCCGCTTGCAGATAGGGCGGGAAACGGTTGGGGAGGATCTTACAAGGACATTGTGGGCACGCAACTGTGCTGGTAGGGGGCCTCGACTTAAGTCCTTGCACATCAACTCAATTGATGACCCTTTGGCAGTTTAACTGCCTCAACATCGCTTAATGTGCACTCCATCAACATAAATCACTCATACGTCACGTTAAACACGCTCAAACTTGAAATGACGTGTATTTATCCGGGGGAATGGGGAACTGGGGAGACTCGGGGCACACGGCCATGGCCATAAATTAATTAAGCCTGCCCGCCGCTCTCTCGAAGGTCCAAGTTCGCGGCCCCTCCCCCCCTTGAGCTGCAATTAAACTGTAAAAGCGAAAAGCGAACGGACCGGCAGCGATGGCGGCAACAGCAAATTACAACCATTTACAATTAATTTGAACAACACGCTGCCATGCAAATGGCGTGCCATGGCTCATAACTTCCAATGGCCAATGGAAGCTCGCCCGTACACCCGCACACCCGCGCACCCTTACACCCCCGCGACGCACTCTTTTCGAGCCATTAAAAAAGGACCAAGCCAAAAAGGCAAGCAACGTGCAAATACTCAATTAGCATATCAATAAATCAAGGAAAGAGTGTCGGTGCCGCCTTGGTGGGGTAATCAAAATTTAGTTAACAACGCCAAACAATTTATTAACTCACTGTGAGCCACGGGGTGCGACCTTGAGGCTGCCAACGTGACGTATACGTAATCTGATGGCGTGGCAAGGCAATTAATCAAGACGTCCTGCGGCTGAGCCGTATTGGATTGCACTTTTGTCAGCGTCCACATGAATGTTTCATGGGATCGGAGGTGGGAATGAGAGGGTTTTTTCCACCAAGGTGTTCACGGAAGCGTCAAAAACGCCACTTAATAATTAATGTCACTCTGTGCTCAATTAAGCTTATTTTAATTGTGAAATGTTATGACTAGAGCAAAGTGAGTTTGAAAATCAGTTGAGTTGAGATGTCACAGCAGTCGCTGGTCCTGATTATGCTAGTGAGTTTTAAATATATATCCTTTGATATGGAAAATTGAAGAATTCCTTTCTCGTAGGTATTGATCGGTTTCTATACCTTGATATACTGCGAAATCAACTGCAAATCGGAGAGAAAGAAAGCCGCAGTAGGTAAAAACTGAACCAAATTAATCCTGGTATCATTACCAAGCATCCCTCCAGGACTTATCCATCAAGTGCTGTCAATTAACACGTCCCAGCTTGGACAAAGGACTAAAAGAGTGCCGGAGATCTCTTAACTTGCCTAATCACCGGAAATTCAACTTTGCCGAGCTCTACACGATCAATATGGTGAGCACAGAGCAGCAAGAGCCAACCTGGTTATAACCCATCTCCAATAGTGCATCGAGGAGTGCAATTACATCAGTTCCGGCTACATTGAAGTCGATCCTCCTTACCGCTTAGATCTGGCCAACATCCGCCTCAACCTGAAGACCTTCTTGCCCCAGCCGCAACTGGAGTCCCTACCCTTTATGGTGGATGCGTACAACAAGTGCGAGGTGTTCCGATCGCTGCACGGCGGACGCTTCACGCTCCACCTGCCCGATATCGAGTTCATCGAGGAGCCCTGCAACCCCTTCGCGCAGCAGCTCACCATCTGCGTGCGGATCCATGCCATGCAAAAGTGTCCAGGCCAGTTCTACGTGAACAGCGCGGAGTGTCGATTGGCCAGGGATTACTTCACCCAGTGCGTGGGGGATATCGAGGCGAATCTTGCATAGAAATCCGGCTGGAACGTGTGAGAGAGTTCATGGGGTGTGCTGCGAAAACTTCAACTCTGACTTGGAAAATAAAGGAAAAAGTCATAAAAGTCATAGATGAAATATGGCAATTCGGCTGTATGTTCTGCATTCGAGTCCTTGGTGCGGGCGATTCTGCTCCTGGCTGCAGTGTCACAACTGCAAATTGAATCGCACTCACACACTCACAGACCTCCTCTCATGTCAATGTCCTCTGCTGACTTTGCATAACTTCGTCTGCTGCTGCTGCTGCAGCAAGTCCTGCCCATGTCCTCGCCATCACTCCGCCTCGCTCCTTTAAACTTGTTAGTTTTTTGGCACTTTTTTTAACACATGCACATTACTTGTAACTAACACCAGGGTATGCTAAGCCTGCGGGCAACTTGCAATGCTTTAAATGGAATTTATTTCCTACAAACAACATCATTTTAATAGAAATTAATAATCCTTGCAATATATTGCTCTATATGAAAACCCTGATAGGTTGAGCTCCTTAATTATTACTGACCCTCTGTCAGTATCCTTAAAGTTGCTACCTAAAAAGTATAACCCATTCGATCCTGACTCGCTGGCTTCCCTCTAGTCAAGTCAGCAGCAAAAGTTGCCGTTATATATAACACGTCTGTCGGTCTGTCTTCGGGTGGTTTCACTGTGTTCTTTTTTTGTCGGTGTCGCAGGACATGTTATGCAACTGGAATAAAGGAACAGAATTTATGTGCTAGCTGGAGGACTGTGCCAGCCAGGCTTCAGCTCAATCCACTCTCCCGTACTCCAGCCTGCCATGCCAATGTGTCTGGCTTTGCAGCGTCAGGTTAAACGGGATTTATGTCCTTTAAGACATGCAGTCTCAGCCTGTTTTCTTAAAACAATTAACGTATTACGAGGCTTCTCTTTGCTTTCGCTCGCTTTCTCTGTGCTGCTGCCAAATCCTTCTGGGCTCCGTGTTTGTTTCTCCGCCGTGGAGTGGGTCCTGTCCTGATTTGCATTTCCTGCCGACTCGAGAAGCTGACTGGCAAGGCGGCAACCGGAGGCCCCGGACTGACAATCAAAGGACTTTGGCTTGCCTTGGCATTTTTCTTTAATTACGCCCTCGAGTCAAATTAAAAGCAAATGATAGTTGTCTTCTTTCTGCCGTATCCTTTCCCGGCAACCAGCTCTCCAGGATCTTCCAGTTTACTTAGTCAAATCAAAGCTTTCAAGAAAATTGTTTTCCCTTCTTTCTGATGGTCAAACTGCTGACCAAGGACCAAGCCAGTCGTCGGGCACATTCACACACATTCCCATTACATGGAGACTGCTTTGTTAGCTGCACGATGTCCTCGAGTGCACTCGAGTCGGAGCTGGAGAGCTTGAGGTTTTTGCGGCAAATAATTTGTGTAATTAAGTGACCACCAACTGCCTTCCCCTCCCACTTAATTGCTTATTTGTGTAGCTAATTAGTTGGGTATTGCCAACAAACATGAGATGGCCGTTATCCTGTCGAGGACGATGCTGTGCGAACCAGAGTGGCTCAACTCACCGGGCTCACTTCTTGCCACTTCCATTCGACGATGTCTAGCACTCGTAATTAAAAAAGATCCATAAAAGCGACGCGGGCAGACACAAAAAGCGAGGCACGTGTGTGTCCCTCATCCCCCGAAGGCTCCTCCTCCTGCCTGCCTGGCAGTCTGCATAATTCAAGCAGACTCCTGCACCACTGCACCACCGTGCATAACAAGCTGGCAAGGCTTAAGGGACTGGTGGGGCTGGCGGCGTGCAATCAAAATTATTATAATTGCGACGCGTTCGCCATTGTGCGACAACAATGACTTCCGCTTCCGTGCTGAAATTCGCCTGCGCCAGTGTCTGTGCCAGCGTCAGTGTCCTGTGTGCCATGTACTCGCTGCATTGTTTTCCATGGTGGAGCGTCGCATTAAGTGCCTGCAAAAGACGCACAACAAAGTGAACAGAGTCCCGGGAGGAGACGGAGTTCGCTGAGAGATGGGAACAACGTGCTCAAGTCCTGGCCGACTTCGGTGAGGGGGGAGTTTCGGCTGGGACACGTTTTATAAGTACACCCGTTAGCATATTAGAGAGCAGCCAGCGAGCTGAGCTTATCACTAGGCAAGGATCTGGTTGAAACCGCTGCCACTGCATCTAATCAATCAATCGAAAAGCCACTCAATCAGCAGCCAAGTCAAACATCGCCCAAACCCTAATGAAATAATTCAATTTGCGCTAGCCTTTGCTATGATTATGATTATTATTATTATTATTACGACTCTGATTATCAACATTACAGCTCGGACAGGCAGGCCGTATTAATTTGGGCAGAGAGTTGGTCCTCGCCAATTCTCGGCCCGCCTGTGATTGGTGGCCAATCAATTGAAGTGCCAGCCACACGCAACCTGCAATTTAATCAGTTTAATTAATAAGCAACATCGATGGCCGGGAGCCGGCCTGGAAATTGTCCGTCATTGTTTGTCATGACCATAATCAGTAGGCTGAATGGCAGCACTGATTGCCGCTGCAACAAAGTTGACCCTTCGATTCTAAGTCTTGGGCCGGGTCCTTTTTAATTGGCTTATTTATGGCTCACGAATGGTGAGGCCACCACTCCCTGCCATGGCTACATTTGTCCGATTAATCTAAATGAATTGTTAGTGCCGCGTATTTGTCACAATTCAGATTGGGCTCCTATCGGCCTGTGGCAATCCAGTCCACTTTCCGCTCCTAATTGCCTCGCATGCGACAGGTAGGGAAAAGCCTGCCGTGGAAAAACCCCTTTTTGCATATTTAGGCAGCTCGGAAAACACTCGACTGTGGCGGGCAATTTCGTTTCGGTTTCGGGATGGATTTAAAAGGCGAAACCCCTCCCTAGTTTCGTGATCGATGGCCATAGACATTAATGGTGCTAAGTGGGCCATAAAGGCGAATGAAACTTTGCGACGACTGCAGTTGAAGGCGGTCCTACATATTATATAAAAATTACATACATAAATTCGAGTGGCCACTTGACTGCCATATGAATCCGCCCCAGCTCGAGTGGGGCTCTCAGACGCAAATATTACAATGGGAGCGAGTACAATGCGATAAATCAGCTCCACTGCCTGCCACTGCTACAAATAAATGCATAAACTTTGAGTGTCAAACAACAGGGCAAAGTGGGAGTGGGAAATGGCAGCAGGAGTGGCAGCAGGGCAGGAGTGGGACCAGGCCAAGCAGGTTGAACCGTTCCAAGCCATTTCGCGTGCCAGTCAATGAGCTATGAAAATATGAAAAATGTAAGCGACAAAACGTGTCGTTCAGTGTCTATCCAGCATAAGAGGGGGGCTGTGACATCTGAAGAGGGGTTTTGCCAGTTTACAAATCACTTTCCAGACGAGGCAGACCGGCCCGGTCAGCTAGCTAGCACTTGACAGGCGTTACGCATACGCAGCGTTGGCCCAAGCTGAAACCGAATTGCCCAAAGCTTTCAAGGGTGTTTGGCGTACTTATGAAATAATACAAGCACGCATCGATTTAACCTTAACAAAGGCCGAAAAGGGAGACACGAAGTCTGGCAGAAATCTGTTGAATATCAAATAACAATCACTTGGCAAGCTAAATATATCATTATGCCTAAGTAGGCGGTGGGTCGGCTATGGGGGTGAGCGGCGGCGAAAGCAAAAAGCTTAACACATGCGAGCATGCGAACCCTCATGGTGGGGCCGGGATGCCTGTTTGTCGGGGATATCCTTTTTTCGCCTCCTCTGCCTCCTTTCTTCGCCAGTTTTTATAATCCTCACAGCTCACAGCTCACAGCTTGCATGTTTGCTTAGCACCTTCGAGGGATAGAAGGCGGCGGCTGGGTCGATGATGCGGAACAGGTTTAAAAAGTTTAAGCCGGAGAATCCTGTTGTTGCGGCTGGCTCTCTTTTTTCCTTTTCTCCCTGTTGTTGTTGGGCGCTTTATGTAATACATTTGGAAAAATTTACAAATCATCTTGCATATTTGATTTGCATACAAGATTTTTCATCGCAACTGCCAATACCTTGCGGGGATATATCCTCCCGGCTGTTTGTGTGGGTGTCCTTGAGCTCGTTTGTATGTCCCCGAATGGCACAAGAGATTCGCAAATTGCTTTCATTGATTGCCGACAAAGCCGGAGTGAGTGAGGTGTACGGGGAATATGCTGTGTGAGTGTGTGTGTGTGTGAACTGCCACTGGGAATTTTTCTTAAATTTTTCGCTGCTTCTGTGCCTGTTTCTGCAGAGTTAAGCGACTGAGGAAAAAACCCGGACCACGTTGCGTATGAGTAATGCTGCCGAGCCCAAACAGCATTTTATAACTGACCAGCTGCTAAGAGCTGGGCCGCGACCAGTCGACCCTCTAGACCCACTGGACCCACTAGACCCCCCCTTTACTCCCCTGGCCATTTATCGTTTGTTGCGTGCCGTGGACGTCTACGTGAAATTATTACGCTGCAATGCATCATCAAAAGTAAACAGCAGCAGCAGCAGCAGCAACGGCAGAGAAAGCTGCTCGGCACTAGACAGCCGGAGGAATGACGGAGCGGGGCCGGTACACCGAAATGTGCGTCTGACATATTCGAGAGCGTCGAGAGCCGGAAAAGCGGAAAGTGGAAAGTGGAGAGCGATGGGCGGAGCGGGTGGACTATAAATTTCGCCTGGCACACGCAGCGCGCAAAGCCAGAGAGAGAGAGAGAAAAATAGCACAGAAAAATGTATTTAAACAGGCATTCAAAGCGTTTAACCGCTAAACAATTGAAAATTCGCAACACCAATGAAAATCGAAAATTCTCATACCCTATATAAATGTTTATAGAAGAATGGCTTGGAATAATAATACTCAGGGGTCACGTAAATCGATCTGAAGCGCTAATAAATTGTAGCGACTGTTCCAGAGAATTTTTAAGACCATGAAAGTAGCTTAGTTCAGTAAGGAAATGATATAATTTCTTGTGTTAAAAATAAAATCTTAATAGATGAGTGGATAAATTAATCTCTATAACTAAATTCTTTAAAAATATCTTTGACAAATGGCCATAAAGCAATGCAGGGTATCTCCACAACCCATCAGCTAAGTTAGCCAGCAGCCAGCGAAAAACAGGATGGTAGACATGCCACTAGAGTAATTGTTATCCTGGCTGGCTGTGCACAGACACGTAAGCCCTCAGAACAAGGAGAGGGAGGGGAAGGGAAGGCCAGAAAGAGTGGACGGAGCTGGGACACAGGACCTGGCTAAACAACAACGCCACTTCACGGCACGAGCCAAACGGCAGGAGCACGAGCCAGAGCAGGAGCTGAAACAATCCTGTAAGCAGCACTCAGCGGCACGCACTTGAAGCTGCGGACCCGGGAATCCCGGAGCAGGACTCCCGCCAGCTAAAACTGCAATCGCAGCTGGCTACGGATCCTTGTCTGTTTGTTTGCCTTGGCCAAAAGGGGCGTCGCCCCTCCAAGGCTCAAATTTCCTTTGCTTCTGCTTATTTATTTTTAATATTTTTATTTACCATGCAAATAGGCGGCGGTGGCGGCTCCACTCTGTTGTATTTACTTACGCCGCTGCTGTGGTATTGCTTTATTTTTGTTTGCCAGTGGTTTTCTTTACATTTCAATGCGTTTCAATTAAGTGGAGCGGCTCTTGTTTGGTCACGCAGAAATTAAGCAGCCTGGCAGGAATTCCAGCGCAGCCCTTCAAGTTTAGGCCGCATAAGTCAGCACTTAAAATGCAGCGGCAAACGTTCTCTTGGCCACCGGCAAATCAGGTATCTGAATGCGGCACGCTCGTCTGTATAATTGAAATACAAAGGCAATTCATACAAAGCCCGATAAAAGCGTAACCAACCGGCGCGCCGGTGGAAGGCAGCAAAGTGGCAATCCCGCCAATCACGCGTAATAAATCATTGCGTGAGCGAATGTTGCCGTGCACCCATACTCATACGCATACTTTTAGGGAGTTTGCGGAAAAGCGGGCAACTCGGGAAATCGGTAACTCGACGGACTAACGGCAGTCACGTGTGGCCGACGCACGCAATCGAACCAATGCTATTTTTTGTAGCCCCTCGGCTCTGCGGGGAAAACACGGACCCGAAGCACGCAGGAAAAGCACAAGTTGACAGCCAAACAAAAGCCGAAAAGCGGCGGTGGCCCATTGTGAGCGATGACAAGTGCGGACTGGCTCCGCAAACAGCAATTAAAAAGCCAAAAGGCTTCAATTAATCCTTGACCTCTTGCCATCGAGGCAAAGCAAAGCCATAGCCGTGACCCGCTGACCAACTGGCTTCCTTAAGCTGGCCAAATAACAATGTAGGAAATCGTGTTCTTCATGTAAGAATGAATGAGTTCTGGGAGACTTTACCTTAAGAGTGAATAAATATTTATACAGTTAGTCCATATGTGTATGTCCTTAAGGCACATTTGTATAAATTAATAAAGCCTTTACAAGAACAAAAAATATCCTGCAGGCAGGACTAAAATTTACATAAAAACCATTACAAAAATATCTAAATATCTTTATATAAGGAAATATAGTTTTGACAAAATAAATTGTATAATTTACTTCAACCTAAAGAAATTGTATACTAGGGCTACATAGAATATATTCTTTTTTATCTTATTAAATATTATATATCCCATGAGGACATTTCATGACATCCTTACAAACGTCTTATCCCCAAGTAGTTTGTTCGCAGTGTACTAAGGCAAGTGGAATTTCTGAGAAGGTCCTTACTCGCGGCGCCCTTATCATTAGGCAACTCAAAGTTGTGGGCCACGCCTTCCGCAACCCACGGGGCCCACATCCATTATCTTGAGCAAGCAGCGCGTGTAATTTTCCACCTGTAATTGGTGTAATTGAGTGCAAGTGCGGAGAAAATATTCAACATGCCAGCAATTAACATAAATTCTCCGCAGCGCGTACAAAAATAAAATAAAAAGGGCGACGCCGCCAAATGATAATGAAAGAAGCTCCCCACACACACATTGGGGGCTGGGGTGGGGTGAAGATAAGCAAATGGCCGCCATCCTGCGAAGCGTTCATAATTGCCCGCGTTGTCAGGAGTGTGCGGGTGTGCGGGTGTGAGGGCGTGACAAATGCAGCGAGTGATTTTATAGAAGGGTTACGGAACGGCAGCATACTTACATGCGCAGCGGAAGTAGTTTATGTTAATGACAGTCCGACCCGACCCAGCATTTTCCATTTTCCATTCTCATTTTCCGTTTCCCATTCTCCTTCACTCTTTGCCAAGTGTCTCACCGCCACATTTCTTTCTTGACTTTTTTGCAGGAACCGAGCCCTTCCAGCGCTTCTCGGAGCAGCCAAAGTACACGGAGGTGAATCCCGCCCAGGACACGCTGCTCACATGCAAAGTTATCGACAAGCGCGGCACGTGCTCCTGGCAGAAGGATAACAAGGTAATTATAACGGCTCACTGGGCCCATCCATCGATGGCCCTAGTTTATAAACATTTTGATTAAACTCATAACTTGGCCAAAAGTCTCGCCAAACACAAACAGCCAAAACGGGGCTCGCACACTAGGACACGCACACCGACGTGTCCTGCCCTGGCCGGGGGAAACTCATATCATATGCGTGGCGCGTCCTGCGGTTCAATTAAGTGTTGTTCTTTTGGCCTCCACATGTGGCGAATGTAATTTACACCCTGGCCGGGACGAGTCAATAATGAAAGTTGCCCCTGGACAAGGGGCATGGCTGGGTTGGGGGGGGGGGACAAGGAATAAGCATCAGGAGTCACAGGACATGGGAACAGCACCCCAGACAGCATTTCTTTGTTCGCCGTTGATTAGAACGCTGGCCGGCGCAACTTTTAATCGAAAGTGCGTGACAGGAGCGGAATGGGACTCAATTGGATTTCATGCCAGCGCAAACATGAAAATACTGTTAGGCCCCTCTGCGGAGCAAGTGTATCGGTCGATCCTGGCAACAAAAACAACAAAAAGAAAAAACAAATACATTTTGTTTGTTTTAATTAATTTACTCTCTGCTGTCACTCCAAATTTTTTAAACTCCCTGTTGCTCTTTTGTTTTTCATGTTAAATCCTATACCAGTTTCAATATATATTTTGTATAAAAACAAATGCAGGGGTTTTAGGTCGGAAGATCTATTTACTAAGCCAATTTATGTATATTTTTAGATATCTGAAAAAATGCAAAATATTGACTGACATGCACTAATTCCCAGGGGCTTATAAAAATATATCTGTAAGGTTTTTTCAATTTGATATTGAATCCTAAAAGGTTAATAAAAATAATATATATTTTTAGGGTTTCTTTACGCCGTTATTAAAAAGTATTTACCAATTAATTCAATTATATTTATTATTTAAATTAGATAACATTAGATTTACTTTATTTTTCCATTATTCAAATGATTATTCAAAGTGTATTTCCATTTAGTTTTATAGGCAAAGTTTAAGGTCTTTGGCCACCTTGAATTAGAGTCCTTTTGTGGTCATTTGTTATGGCATTGTGGACCATGTTGTGGCTCTCCTGCCTTCTGCGACTTCGTTTGCATACCAATCCAAAGTGCCTCATTATGGATCAGCTCCGGCCGCTGGCTAGGGAATTTCCCGTTGCCTTCGTTGTCGTTGCCGTTTTGTTATTCATGGCAATTGTGTGCGTTTCAAGCATAACTTTTATTTGCCAAACTCCAGCCCCGCGGTGTCTCCGCTACCCACTTGTTGTGGTAGTTGCTTATGCAAATGCACCCTCGGCGGTGCCGGATGCGGATGCGGAAGGGGATGGGTCCAGGCGACGCCATTGTATGACAAAAATCAGAAAGCATTTCAAATGTCCCTTTTCATATGCTGCGCATCGCAGGCGCTCGCTCTGCATCACATACTTAAATGTTTACATGCTTTGTGTCTCCACTCGAACGAGTCGAAGCCACTGGCAGGAGGCAGGACATAAGAAGAAGGACGAGGGACTCGACACACTACATTTGCATGCATCGAGCGTTCCACACACTCACATGCTGATGTTGCTGTTTCGGGTTTCATTTAAAATTATTCTTATTTTTGCATACTTACTCCCAGTACTCCTCTCCGCCCGTGTCTGCTCAACGTTTCCCAATTTCCTCCTCCATTTGGGTATATAGTTCTGTCCATATATTTTACGTGTAGTTATCATAAGAGGAGACATTTGGAAGCGCTTGTCCCACAAAAGAAAAAAAATAAAAAGCGAGTGGGGCCTGTGTCCATTGCCGAGCTGCATTCTAATTTGGCCAAAGCATTTCGGGGGAAAAATTGTCTATTCCGTCCGTGCCTCTCTCTCATCCGAGTCTGTTTTCTTTGCAGTGCACTTGCCGATAATTTCAAAGCAAAGTATGATATCAACAACCGCTCGCCCCTCCTTTTTTCTGCATATATGACGACCGGGCTCAGCCATTTGAATAAATGTAATTTTTTGGGCGCCACACTCTTCCACTCCTTTTCCCAGGCAAACAAAACGAACCCAACGATGCGGAGCATGCCGAGGCCCAAACTCCGGAGCCGGCAGAGCGCCTTCCTTCGATATAGCCGCCTGCAGCATGCAGTCTCGGGGAATGCTGAGAATTATGCCGATACGAATATCGATTCGAGAATGTTTTGGCAGCATCAACAGCAGCATCAATGGGCCAGAGCCAAATATTTGCTCCATTTGGTTTTTTATCTCCCAGCCGAAATTGTTTTTCTGGCAGTTTGGCAGCTCGGTCTCCTCCATTGCTTAACCCACGCTGGCCCAGGGTCGGCAGAGTCAAATGAAATAATATCTGACATGCCAGCCGCAAGCTGTTTAATAAAGCTTATCTCAAGGTGGTCTGGTCCATTTTATTTTGTCCCATTTTATTTTATCGGCCTTTGTGAATATATTAAACTGTGAATTCGGTTTCCTTTCTATAAATTTGAATGCTGGTCCAGGCAGCAAATTCTGTGTTGCAATTAATTTAACCCATTACGCCACGGACAAGGCAGACAACAGTCAGAGCCGAAATGCAATTAGGCAGCTCTCTTTCAGGGAGGAGGCGGTGTCTGGGCCCTGTTTCCCCATAAATACTTAAATGCGAACGCTGCCCACGCTCAGAGATCACTAATTGTAATTTAATTTCCAATTAGCAAACAAACTAATGCCAATTTGCAGACAGAAGCGACTGGAACGACGACTGGAATCGGAGTTAAATGACACGTAGTGGTGGGCGAGTGGGCGGGGCTTACTGCCCAACCCGACTCCTATGTCCGAGTGTCCCCTTGTCTGTCTGTGTATGTTTGGACAAATCGGAGACCAAATTAGACGCCCGACTGCATCGAAAAGTTAAACATGCTAAACATGTCGTCGACGACGCCCAGTTCATTTCAACGCCATCATCGATTCCCCCCATCTCCAAACATATCCTTGCCTCTGATTCGTACTGCACGGGGGAAAATAACCCTGAATACGACTTGGAATCAAATGGAATTATTCGAAATTGATATAGATTAAAGGGAGATTCATTTTAACTAATAATAAATTAAATTATTAAAATAGTTTTCAAACATTTTGAATACATTTCTCTATAAATTAATATTTTTCTTAATTCTTTCTCCTTGTGTAACTAACCAACTCTATTCCTCCTTTTCCAGCCCGTTGGCATCTATACGAAGAAATACGAATGGGCCTCACGTCTGCCGACGAGCGACAACGGGAATGTCCTGCATCTAGACCTCCATCCGCCGCCGGTACAAATAGGAGGCGACTGCTCATTGTGGATTCGCTCTGCCACGCTGGACTTCGACGACGGTCTGTGGGAGTGCCAGGTGACGGCCAGCGACTTCACCACCCAGGATGCCCTCACCAGTCAGCCGGTGCGCCTCGTCGTACGTGGTGAGTAGCCGGAGTAGACTAGAGGCATGCAAAGTGCCCTCGATGCCCTACACTCCATGTTCGAATCCCGCGTCCTAATGACACTCCTTTACCCATGTGCTTCCAGTGGCCCCACAGCGGCCTAGGATCGAGTACGAGGCGGTTCACGTGCCGCCGGGACACAACATCACCGCAGACGCCGGCGCCGTGGCGACGGTCAAGTGCGTCTCCCATTACGGCAATCCGCCGGCCACTCTCAAATGGTATTTGGGTAAGTCTCGAGCTTGAGCACACCTAAAAAAATGTTGGGGCTTAATCTTAAATTTAAGGATTAATAAAAAGTTCCCTTTGACTTTAAGAAAGATTTGTAACTGCTGCAATATTTAAATGTTTAATAGTAAATAGTGGTACCTATCCGAATATAGGAATATTATATATTATATAATGTATTTTTAAATCGAAATTTATTTAATTTTCAAGTATTTTTTTCGAGTGCCGGCTGAACCCCTTGTCATCCATTTAATTGCAGTTGTCATCCTTCCGTCTTTCTCTATTTGCTGTTAATTAATTTCGACTTCTCCCCCTCTCAAACTCTTCCGCAGGCGACCAGGAGATCTCCCCCTTGCATCCGCAGATGAATGCCACCGAGCCGGATAATCCGCGCACCTGGTCGGCCACCTCGGTGGTGCAGGTGTCCGCGATGCGAGAGCGCCACGGAGACATGCTGCGGTGTGTCGCCCACCACGAGTCCTACCAGGCCAAATCCGTGATGGTAGACGCCCGTCTGGATGTAAAATGTGAGTGTTAACTCTGATACAGCTGCATCCTTGCACCGCTCGACCCGATTCTGGCCCCAAAGTGCCATCATTTGATTTGGCTTAAAGCCCAGACGGCCAAACAAGGAGCCGGCAATCAGAGTCCCAGCCCGAATCCGAACCGAACTCGAATCCGAGACAGATGCAGGGTTGTAACAATTAAATTAACAACAATTTGCTGTAATTTCCTGTTTTGCTGAGCAATTCAGGAGTCGACTTGTCCCAGAGGACGTGGCCAGGAGCCAGAAACTAAGCAGGGCTTGGCCGGCTTGTTGACTCTGTCTGCTCTGCTGCAATATTGCTATTGCCCTTGCTGTTTGTGCTTCTGTTTCGGTTGCCATTTCTGCCTCAGTTTCTGTTGCTGTTTTTGCTTTTGTTTTGCCTAACCAAGTTGAACGTCTCCGTTTCTGCTCCTGCTTCCAGACGCGCCGAGCATCCGTCTAATTGGCTCACCGGAAATCGACTTGGAGGAGGACAAGGACGCGCTCGTGCTGCGCTGCGTGGCCGACGCCAATCCGCCGGCCAGCATCGTCTGGCGGCGGGCCGGTCGCTCCGAGATTGCCAGCTTGCAGGTGAGCTTAGCTGCGGCCCCCGTCTTGTTTATGTTGCTCCCAGGCCCCTCGCCGGGTATTTATCTGGGGTGTAGTAGAAATTTGTAATTGTATTAAATTGCCCGCTTCCTCTACTCCTTCTTTTTCCAGGAAACTCTGCAATTGCGTCCCGTCGGGCGGCGGGATGCCGGACTGTACACCTGCCAGGCGCAGAACTCGGTGGGCACCTCCGAGCAGCTGTCGGTGCAGTTGGACGTGAAGTGTACGTATCCTGGTCTCACTATTTACCTTGGACAAAGTTTTCACCCGTCTCTCTGTTTTTCCGCCCCCAGATCCGCCCAAAATTATTTCAGCTGGCCCGGACCGCCTCACCACCGCTCCGCTGTTCAGTCCCGCCGCCTTCGAGTGCCTGGCCGATGGTAATCCCTTGCCATCCTTCAGATGGGTACAGAAGTAAGTCTGATTCCAGATACACTAAGAGAAGGAAAGCTAGATTTTACAGTTTAGAACTATAGTGTTGAGAATAGATTGATGTAACTTGTATTTTGGTATTAGTAAAGTCTTAAGAGTTTTTTATTTTACCCATTTCAAAATCATGGATAGGATAGGATTCTCGTTTCCCAGAACAAGTCATTGTTCCCCCCGAAGTTTGTTATAATTTCAGTGTATACCTTTCCCACTTGCGGTCGTCCGAGCGGGAATTCTTGAGCACTTTGCGCTCCGCATACTTTCGGTGGCCTCTTGGCTCAGTTTATAACTTGGTTTTCTTGCCTTAAAGACATGGCTCAATGGTGAACCGGCGTCTGGCCTGACCATTGTTGTCGACCGGATGGCAAAAGCTAATTAAACGCGGCTCACGCGGCGTATGCGCAACATTTTCCCGCTCTGAAGATGTGGGAATGGCTGCACTTTATGCAATAATTAGTTAAATTTAGCCTTCCCAGCGAGAAGTTTTCCTTTGAATACTGGCTATGCCTGGCTGGCTGTGAGAACAGCATTTCCCTTCCTACGAGGTTATGTTTCCTGTTGCATATTTCCTTTCACAAGGCTCTCGGCTCTCCCCCCCACAGAGCTGACGATATTTCGCGTAATTTTAATTAGCTGCTCGGCGGAAATTGTCTGAACCAAGGGAAAACAACTTCAAAACAAAGCCAGTTTTATGATCCCACTGACTTATGTACCCTGTAATTTCTCAGAACATATTTAGCCTTCAATTTGAAGTGATGAAGGATGAATTTTTCCAAAGGGCTTCCTTCAGTTTAATGTGGCTTCAATATATTTAATTTTTGCCTAGCTTGTCCTGTGTAATACACCCACCACCGCATATAGCCAGCATTTCGCAGGGTAGCAAGAAGGCATCCATAATGCGTCCTGGATTAGGCTCCTTCCGTTTCCTCTTTCGCCTTTGATGGCATCGTGCATTAGTATGCAAAGCAGGCAAATCCTGCGGAAAAACCGAAACCGAAACACTCCTCGTCCATATGACTGTCTATGGCAATCCGTCTCTACCTCTCCGTGGCACCTCTCGCCCCTGTCTCGCCGCCACGTAAGTACGTGATTTTTGTGATTCCATTTGTTTGCACTTGCCCCCAGACAATCGGGCTAACATAAAACATACACGGCCAGGCCAGATCGTGATCGGGCGGCTATATACAGGATGGGGATGGGACTGAGAACATGGAGCCATTGTAGGTGGTTATGCGAAGGTGTCGCCATCTAATAACGAATGCCACATGCAAAACATTGACGTGTTGACTTAATGAAGCAAACGCGCGCGTGTTTATCAGAAATTAAATGTCAATTGTTGAAAACTAATTTCCACGCATGTTCTCCAAACACCCCCCCCCTACCGGGCCGCCCTGCCACCCTCTTTAATGTCGTCCTCCGAAGCCGCATTAAATGGCGCGTGCCGTGCTGAGTAAACTGCGGGAGCCGCCCATCGGGGTCGCTTGGTAATAAATCAATGCCACGAAGTGAGCCGCTGACAGGGCGACGTATGCTCCGCGGCTGCTTAATCTCCTCCCCAGGTGTCCTTGGACGGGGCTGCAAGTGCAGTGGGAGACCGAACCGCCTTGCAAATGAGGCAGCCAAGGACAGGACAGGACACGGAGTTCTGCCACTTTGATTTACGTGATTTCACCAGAAAAGCCAGCGAAAAGCAGAGCCTTCGTTTCGTGTGCCAAACTTTTTCGACTTTGTCGATTTGCATTTGAATGGCTTTCTAATTTATTGCCTTTAATTGCTGGCGAAGAAGCGACTTAAATATCAGAACTTTAAGAGCCATCGATCGAGTGTATCAGCTGAATGGCTTTTTTTTGTGGCTCCCTCAAAAGAATCTGTGGAAGAGCTGAGGGGTTGGATGGCCCAGGGCATTCGCAGCTTGAAAGGCATTTCTCATATTAAAAATGTATCAAATATTTCTGTGAACGAGCTCTCTTTGGTCCGCCAGTCCTCTGTGACTCTGTGAGGCGAGCAGCCTGCACCGAAAAATAACTCATACGCATACGCAATTTTCAATATTGCCAAGCAAGGACTGCACCATCGGGGGGGATGAGACATGGGAGGATCCTGGAAGTTGGGGGAATTTGCCCTGCTGCATCATCCCATCAGTTTTATATCGTCCGGCTCGGAGCAGTTCAAAGAGCCACCTGCGAAGTGTGCACTCCATAACCAGATGGAATGCCCAAATTAGAAAGGCAAAATGATAATAAATTGAAATTAAAGGACATTAATAATTGTTAAATATATTTTTTGTAATGTTTTAAATAAATTTAATGAGTGAAATATAGGTTTTTGTTCATCTCCAGAGTATTCTTTCCATTTTTGGAACTTACTTTCTGTCCAACGACTCTATTTGTTTGCCGAAATCTCGATCAAAGCTAAAAGCATCCATCGTCGAGACACTCAACTGATTTGATTTTTTTTTTACGCATTGCAGGATGTCCCATGGCACCAAAAACATGGAGCGGGGCTTCGAGTCCAGACTGGTCATCGACAACGTCACCTACGAGTACCAGGGCGAGTACGAGTGCCGGGCCACCAGCTACATCAATGGCCAGGAGCGAGTGGCCATATCCGATCCAGTGTCGCTCCAGGTTGTGGGTAAGTTCCTATCTCCAGAGCATTTGCTCTGCCGTGTCCTGTGGCCATAAAAACCGCAGTGCCACAAAATATGACGACAACAGGGGAGCAGGCTCCATGCTTTGGAATCCCTGGCAAGGGTATCAGGGGTTAAGGAACGAACTATGTATGCGGTCATAAATCTCCGTGCCACCTCCATTTGCTTTTGCTTTTTTCGATGTCAATTTCGGCCCCGAACGAGAATAGAAACACCAGAGCAGTGTCATGGAGATGACCAGAGAAGGTGACAACGCAACCGGAAAAAAGCAAGCGATTCCGCCTCGGGCCACTCATTTAAGTCCGCCCCTCGCCCGGCTGCCGTGCAACTAATGCACACTTAAAACAACTAACAAAACTCCATTAAAAGCTGCAGCCGGAAAGCGCCTGCAAAACATTTTAAGCGCTTGCGTTGCCACCTCCTTGCCTTCCCGCTTTTCCGCTTTCCCGCCGATTTCCCCGCCACGGCCACACAATTTCGCGGTGGCTGGCAACTTGCAACTGGGCAACGGACTAAGCCAAAACGTAACACAAAATCAAAATGAACTTATGACCGCAGCGCCAGCGGAAAAAAAGGAGCTTCAACTGCCGAGGGCGAAACACTGGACAGTGGACTAAAAAAGGCGCGAGGAACTCTAAAAAAGAGCAGCAAGAAATATTTAAATTTAGTGCTGAATACCACAGCACGTACATAATTTATGACCAACCAAGGACACGAGCAATTTAGCAGAGTCGGCGACGAAAAAATGCACGAAAATAAACATGCACATGGACCATGTACATTATGTATAAAAAAGTCCTCACCGCACTTATATATTTCCACGTCCCGGTGTCTGTGTGTCAAGTAACTAACGAACTAACTAACTACGACAGAGTGTCGGGAAATAAATTAAAATATTAAAGGTCATAGAGAAAGTCGCTATACTTTTTATGCCCTAGATTTCCTAATACAAAATAATTATAGAAAGTAAGCCATTAAAAGCTTAACAAAATCAATTGGTTTACATTTAATGCATTGCCATTAAATTCTGAATTAATGCATTTTAATACAAGTACGCTTTAACATATTAAATAAGCCGTGTCCCTGCCCTGCCAAGGAGTCACTGAACTTTTCGGAACTACATAACCTGGAATGCTGTTGAGACTCAGCTACCTTAAAAGCAATGGAAATGAACAAGGAGCAGGGAGACAGGGCACTCTTTAAGCACTTTTTATAATTATCTTCGGCATTGCCGGTCGTCGAATGCGTCGCGGCACACCGACTCAATTAAAAAGTCATCTGGCCGAACTAGACATTTTTCACCTTGTTTCCTTTGTCCTTGCAGGTGCTCCGCAGGTCCTGCGCCTCCACCCGTCGCTGCATACCGTCGCCGTGAAGAGGGGCGAAGCTGCCAGCCTGACAATGGTCGTCTGCGCGGATCCGCGACCCATCCGCGTCGCCTGGGAATGGGGCTCTCTGCGTCTGGAGGCCGGCTCGGGCATCGGTGCGTATACTTGTTTGACGGGCAGTTACCGCTCGGCGCTAATTGTAATGCAATTAGACGCCGGGCCTTAGTTTTGCCTACTCGGAATTCAATTAGCGCCGCCCTACAGGATGCAGGATGCCTGCCGCGGTCGCTTGAGTGCTCATTAGATTAACCCTTCCCGCAGATCGTTCCCACAATTGCTAGTCAGGGGCTGTGCCGCAAATCAAGACAAATTACATGACCGACTGGAGCCGGAGTCGGACAAGAAACTGCCAGTGTCATGTCCGCGTCGGAAGAGGGGGCGAAAAAAAAAAATATGGCGTGGGGCTGCCTCGAGCAGACTTCCCACGCCTGTCAGCCGCCGGTAATCCGAGCTTCAACAGACAGGCAACACAACCCACAGCTCGTTTTCCAGCTGAAACTCTTTTTCGGATGAGCATCCGCTGCACAGCTGCAGCTCTTTTCCATCCTCCTCCCCCCAGACCATGAACTTGAACTGCATCCGTGCTGCCCAGTGTTGCCAACACGGCATTAAATATTTAAAGCTAAAATGCAGAGTTAAATGCTATAATTTTATTATGCCGAATACTCGAATAGTAGAGGCAATGGGATAAAAATTTACCAAATTTGCTTGATATTGAACGAACTTACTCTAAACTTATAGCCAGTCTGGCATCACAGCCGCTGGGTCTGTGGCTCGCATTATTCTTCATTTTCAGCTTGTCTGCCCGTGTCCATCCATGGGTGTCTCTCGTGCGTGTAATCCTGCGTTCATTCGCTGCCACTGACACAAATCAAACGCAGCTCCCTCTGTCCGTCCGATCCGTGAGCTTTTCTCTTTCTGCCCGCCCCCTCTCAATCCCGGCGCTCCATTGGTTTTCCCTGCTAGTTAGCCCATCGAATCGAATGATTAATGTCCGGACCTTGGCAAATTGTGTGCAATTCTAGTGCGCTTACTTAGCCCATGAAGCCAATTCGCAGTGGCAGCCACTCGCATTTACTAGTACTAACAACAATTCGCCCCCTTTGCCTTTCCCACAGATCGCTTCCGGGCCGACGACGTGCAGCCGGACACCCGCGAGGACTGCTACCTATCGACGCTGCACATCCTCCACACGGACGAGCACGACTCCAGGCCCTACTACCTGGTGGTGGAGAACGAGCGGGGCACCGATCGTCATGCCATACACCTGATTGTGGAGGGTACGTTTGCAGGTGCATACACTTTTCTTTGATTTTCTTTGCCCCCTCACAAGCATTCCCATTCGTCATGCATTTACACACACTGCACGCATTTCGCATTTAAGTTACACTCTCGCGCTCATCACATATTTGCACATTACTTGCTTTCACTTGGAAAAAGAAGGCAGGCTTGTAGGCCATTAAGGAACTTGTGCAAGTCAATATTTTATTTTATCTATATAGTTTAAATAAATTTAAAATATAAGCAGTTTCTTCTTTACTCCACTTCAGAATTTTACAATTTTTAGTTGAGTCGTCGTAAGTAAATTCAAAGCACTTCCTTATATTTTTCTGTCTCAGCACCAAACCTATTTTTTCCAGTTTGCGAAAACATTAAACTCATTAAATATTATCGCATCCCTTGCACCACGTCCCAACGATTTTAATTAAAATCAATTGCACAGTGCAGTTACTTGTACATCTGAAAATGAAAATTCCTCTTAATGCTTGCATAACCAACTCCGACACGACGACGACCACTTTGGAAAACATGAATACACCCATCCATGTATCAAATCGTTGAATGGAACTTCCGGACAGAACCCTACGAGATGAGCTACCTGATGGGCGTGGCCGGAGGCTGCATGGCGGCCATCCTTCTCCTGGTCTGCCTCTGCATCTACGCCATCAAGAGCAAGAGGTGCTGCTTCAAGGGTAAGTCAGAGTCCCCGTCAAGGCCGCGACAATTAAGACTTCCTTCTTCATTATGACGCCTGTTCCTCCGCCCGCACTAATTGCAAAAACACAAAAACTTGCCAGCTCACAAAGAGCTGAAATGCGAGAAGGCGGCGTGGCGGCGGAAAGCGGAAAAAATGGCTGCCAGGATAGATGCGTCTCTCTTCCTGGCTTTGTGTGTGTGTGTTTTGGCTTGCTTTTTTCCTATTCTCCTTGAAACTCGAAACTCAAATAAATCTCATAAAATATTCATTAGCGTCCAACGCCTGCGGTCAGTCTCCGTTTCCTGTTTCCCCTGCCCACACAAAAGGGTTAAGGGTTTCGAGCCAGCTTTTTGTTTGCAGCTCCGACGTGGCTCTTGTTCGCTTTTATTTTTTTCCAAGCGATGTCTGCGGCAAAGGGCTCTAAGCCAGGGCAATGCCTAATTAGAAATCAAAACGCAGACAAAAAGCGGCGAAACTTTTTACAATTGTAAAACAATTTGCAAGGGAGCAATGGAAACTTTGCCGGTTGCCAGTTGGCAGTTGCCCGTTGCTAGCGCCATTTGCCATTGCCCAAGGACATTTGAGGCATTCCCCCATCTGATGATCTGTAAACACTTCGAGCCGAGCCCGCCACCTAATCGCAATTTCTCAGTTGTCAATCAAGCTGTCAATTTTACTGGCTGACTGACTGCTGCAGCTGCCTTCCAGTTGTCAAACGCCGTTTGACAGATCTCTCAAGTGCGACCCGCTGCAGGGATATGTGTTTTATATGTGGCCGAGAGCCCTTCACCCCTTCGAGATCCATCAAAACTCAGTGGCACCTCTCCTGGCACGTTCCCCGCAATCAATAAGTCCCTGCCTCATTTATCACAGGAGGAGAGCGGGTGGGGAATTTCACAAATACATCTGTCTGTCTCTCCTCCTGGCCGTCTGTTTGTAAATTGCCAGCGGTATTTTCACAGCTAATTTCTACTATTTGCAACAAGACACAAGGAACCGCACCCTTCACAAAGTAATGGGCGGAATTTATATTCCTGAATGTGGCGAATGCGAACTCTAATATGAATCCTTCTCTCACTTTCTCTTCCTCCTCGGCGTCTCCTCGCATGGCACAGGATCCACGGGCTATAAATCATCGGATAAAGACAGGTAAGTTGAAGCGTAATACGTGCACACCCACCCCCACCTCATATACACACACACACTGGGGGGGGCAGGACCATAGATAAATGACCATTTTGATATATTTTTATGCAGCGCCTCCAACAGGTGGCGCTGGCGTGCCAATTTATGCGCCCCTACTGGCCGAATGCAGCAACTCATTCACCCCACACACACACACACTCGCAGTGGGGCAATGGAACAATGAAAAATGTTTCCCCATGCATACGTTATATCTATGTATGTGTGTGTGTTCAGGACATAAAATATTATACATTTTTCATATATTCAATATATGCACAAGGTCTGAGTGGCGGAAGAAGGAATGGCTTTTTGGCGAACAAACATTATTGTTTGGCCAAGAAAGAAAGTTTAAATACTCTAACTAGAAGCGGGGAGAACGTATGATATTAGGGGATATTTACAATCCGGTTAAATAGGGTTCAAGGAGATTACCCCAATATTTAAATAGTATATATCTTATTTCTAACGAATAATAAATTTTACACTTTAAATTTCTCAATGGCATTCATACACAACTTTTTATAATGGCTTTATGGGAATTCTTATAGAAGCCCCATTACGTCTTATAGGTTTTTCCAATTATCCAGTTAATACTTATAATGCTAATTATCCCATAGCTACAAAATTGAAACAGATAGATGAATAGATAGATGAATAAATAGAGAGATAGATGAATAATAAAAATAATATTCCTTACAATTACTCTCCAACAAGGCACACCACCTTACTTAGTTAAAGAACTCTACTTACTCCTTAAATTTCAAAGGGTATGCGGGTATTTCTTTGTTTTCCAATAACATAAATGGAGAAGGGAAAGGCAGGGTAACCAGCCAGCCCGCCCATCGCTCATTGTTGTTGGCTGCCGTGCAATATGAGTTATGAGCGGTAGTTGTTCGGCCACTCGCCTCCTGGTTTAGGAGTTTAAAATTACTATTTTTCGTTTATGAAACAATACATACAATACACCCGAGTGTGCTGTTCAGAGCAGGCCCCACAGCACAGATCAATGGGGAAAGGAGAACGGAAATGGATTTCGAATTTCCGCTCCAAGTACGCTTCGACCGCATTTCCACAAAATTCGTTTTGGGCGCCGCACACTCACTCATTTAGGCCCAATCTCAGCCAGGGAGGCAGGCAGGAGGCGAGGGGAATATCTAATTTCCCAAGCCCCAAGTAAACAATGGCCTGCGGCGAGGCGGCGACAAAAACTAAATAGATATTCAGATATGCGAGAGGGATACAATTTGCCAATCAGCGATAGAAGCCGCCCAACCACTTAGCCCCCCCACACAATTGTCACTTGGGCAAACAATTTTCGATAACGATTTGGCCCACTCACACCCTTCCTGTTTTTTCTGTCGCCCGCAGCGAGAAAGCTGATTTGAAATCACGCTCGGATAGCACGAGTGGCCCTCAAGGTGATTCGATTTACACCACGCCCGCCGGCTTCCATCACCACCAACAGCAGCAGCAGCAGCAGCAACAACAGCAACAGCTGCAGCAGCAGCAGGCAGCAGCGGCTGCCGCAGCCGCCCTCCACGCAGCCTCGCAGCATCCGCAGCAACAGTACCCGGGACACGGATCGCCGGAGGCAATGAAGGTACGCATGGCTGCAATGATATTACAACCGCCCACTAGAGTCTAGCAGGCAATTGATAGCCAAACCGACGAACAGCAACCAGAACAACAACACGAACTACAGACACACACGGCGACCGAACAGCCACTCGATGGGGGACACCTCGACATCAACATCAACATGAATAACAACAACGACGACAAGGGTTCGACCACTGTCCTGACCAATAGCGATAGTAGCAATCCTCTAGAGGCGCCAGCCAAGAGCAGTAGCAGCTCCAGCAGCAGCAGCAGCAGCAGTAGTAGTAGTAGCAATAGCAGCCACAGTGGGGGCAACAATTCGGTGGGGAGCAGCAGCAGGAGCGGGAAGCGAGATCTGGAGAACAATATGAACAGGGAGATCAAGCCCCAGGCGGCGGCCAAGCTGCTCCACCTGAACGTGACCGCCGGGGAGCGGACGGGGGAGGAGGAGCCGGGGCTACTGCCGGCTGGTCCCCTGACCCCCGAGGAGACCCAGGTGCTGCTCCAAAAGCTGAGCATCAACAATCCGTTCTACCGTTTCCGCAAGCAAAGCAACTCCTTGAAGGAGCTGCATCGCAGCCGAAAGACGGTTCCTCCGCGCACTCGCACCCGTTCCCGGTCCGAGACGGATCTGGGCCAGGTGTCGAAGTCGCTTCCACACCCAAACCCGAACAGGAATCCCCAGCACCAGCACAGTGAAGCCAAAGTTGTAGTTGTACTAGAGAGTAAGCAGCAAGACATAGCCATAAGTAGGCCTAGGAGTAGCGTTAACCTTAAGACTAGATCCATAAGCAGTCTGAGTCCCTCCGGGAGCCACCAGGCGGGGGACAGCTCCACGGTGATCACGAACCCCTTCTCCATCTTCCACGACGACGAGATCCTCACGCTCAACGTGAACTCGCGCCTACGCAGTGCCGCAAGTGCCCGAGCTGTGCGGCCCCAGCGCCCGGGGCGTGGCCTGCGTCGTCTCTTCGAGACCAGCCGCTCCCAGAACCCACCTGCCGAGCACCACTACCTGTACGGAGTGCCAGTGCGTCGCTTCGAGCGGCAAGACTTTGACAACGAATCCGCGGACTTGTCGGGCAGGAGGACCACCTCGACTGGCAAGCCCAAGAGGTCGAGAGCTATCTTCAAGCAGCTGTCACTGCGGAAGCTTCACCAGCGCGGGCCCGAGGAGCCGCCCTCGCTACCCAAGCTCAAACTGAGCTACCCGAATCGGACGCACAGCATCCAGAGCATGCGCGCCGCGGGAGGCGGTGGCTACGACATCCAACACACCACCGCCTACCACCCGCGGCTGAACCACACGGCCTCACCGGTGGGCAAGGCCAACTACTTCGAGCGGCTGCAGGCCAAGACGCGCCAGGGCATCCAGAAGATCCGCGACAAGTGCCGCAACTTCAAGACGGGCAGCGGCGAAGGAGGCTCCATGGGCGGCTCAGAGTTCAGCGGCTTCCACACGCTGGCCAAGGACGAGAGTTTCCGCTTCATCAGCGACCGGGCGCACATATCCAGCTACGAGTCTCGCTGCAAGCAGGCCACCATCTACAAGAGCTACAAGTCGGAGATCGACCTGAGCAAGAACCTCCACTACCTGGACGCCTATCTGGAGCAGAACTTTGACCACCAGCTGAGCACCACCAAGCAGTCGGCCCACTCGGTGGGCAGGGTCAGCGGAGCCCAGCGAAGGGCCTTGTCCAAGCAGCCGGAGACTCCGGAAACCCCCCGCCGGCCGAGACACAAACGAAGTCAGTCGCAGGCAGCTCACTTTGGGGCCAACTACGAGAACCTAGGAACCCTGCCCATCGCCGCCAAGTCCAAAGCCCGAGGCTCGGCCCTCCACTCGGACTCGATGAGCAGCTCCGACTACGCCTCCGTGTTCAGCGGACCCACCTCCACGCCTGGCCACCGGCTGGAGCCGGATGCCAAGGCGGAGGAGGAGGCCAAGGAATTCAAGCTGCGCTACGAGCACCCGGACAAGATGTGCGAGTACTACTTTGACAACCTAACGAGCTACGCCCTGGCCCTGGAGGAGAGCGAGGACTTGCTGCTGGCGGAAAGTGCCAAATCAGCGAGATTCTTCTACGACGACGACGATGAGGATGGAGGTGGGGATGTAAGGGAGGACGACGACGGGGATGAGGAGGCGAATGGGGCGGCGGGTGGAAAGCCCGATTACACTGCCCGCGACATACGCATCCGCGTCAACGTGAACGAGTGCGAAGACGCTGATTGGCATCAGCCGGAGAGTGCGACATCGTATAATGAGAATCTGGCCGAGAGCACATTCTACCAGTCGCTCAATCAGCACTTGCAGCGCCAGCAGGTCGGCGAGGAGGCGCTGGAGGACCAGGGCCTCCTGCCCGGCTCGGGAGCTGGAACGGTCGTGGGTGGGGAGAGCTACCTGGACCACTTCCAGCGACAGCGGGGCACGCGTAGGGACTACGAGAGAGCCGGGGCCTCGTCCGTGTATCAGCGGGGTGAGTTCTACGGCTTCGGGAGGAGCGGAGAGCCAGGCGGCGAACCGGAGGAAGTGGTGTACGCGGCGCGACAACGAAGGGCCGACCTCATGGAGGCCCACTACGCCCGCAGCTATCAGTCGGGAGCCAGTCGGGGCAGGCATAGGGACAGGGGCAGGACGCGCTATGCAATGCAGACGGGAATGGAGATGGAGCGACAGCAGACTGCTGAGCCGGGTGCCACGGCCACCGCAATGCCGCCTGCAACAGGCAGTGTCATCAATTTGGCTCTGCCGGATGCACTGTACGCCACCAGCAGCAAGCAGCAGATAACGATGCCGATGCCCTTGTCAACCACAGCCACACAGTTCCAACAGCTAAAGCCGGAGCCACTGGCATTAGGATCGTCAGCAGTGGGAGCGGGAGCGGGAGCAGCCACCTCCCCGGTAGCTGCAACATCAGCAGTAGGAGCAACATCGGTGGCAGGCAGCTCAACCGGAAATGCAAACAATCGCTACATGCTGGAGAATCTGCGCAAATACTACGCGAATCAGCAGCAGCACCCGCCCGCGCACTCGGTCAACTCCTCCTCGCTGTCCAACTCCTCCTCGTCGAACTCGTCAATGTCGCAGCAGCAGCACCAGCAGCAGCTGAAGCTTAACTTGCAGCTTCAGCTGCAACCGCCACCCACCGCGCCCAGGCAGCAGCACCACTTAGGTCCCCGCCGCAACTCCAGCACCTCGAACGCCTCCTCGACCGCCGAAAACTTTGACACCTTCATAACGTTACGCAACGCCACGGCAAATACGAACGCGGATTATTTGGCCAAACAGCAGCAGCAGCAACATCAGCTTCGTCGCGGTCAGCAGTCCGTGCCGCTCACCTCCGCTCTCAACTATTACGGACACGGAGCAGCCACGCCCACGGCCACACCCTCGCTAACGCCTGCCCTCGCCTACAATGGCAAATTATCGGCCACCGCAATGTTGTCACAAGTAAATTTAAGCAGAGCAACCGCCACAGCGACATCGTCCACTGGGCCAGGAGGAGCAGCGAGGTCCTCCTCTCAGGCAGCCGCCGGAGCGGTGGGGGAAGAGGGATTCATCCTGGAGTACGAGTGTTAGCCCTCGATGGCACTCCCATCGATTGAGCATGGAGCAGAAACAGGAGCAGGAGTTGTTATTTCTTCGTCGTTTGCTATTTGTTTGCCTTGCCAAAAATTACAATTACAAATTGGCACATTCGCTTCCGCGCTGATTAGGACTCGTGTGTATGTATAGAGGGAATCGTCCTGACGATTGCGAGTATGTAATATATGCAGGGGAAGGGGAGAACGGGCATGGGGGAATTCGAAGCCCAAGAGCCAATTATTCGTATCATATCAGAGGACGTAGGAGGGGATAGTCAAATATCGTTTGCACGGAAAGATGCTTATCCACTCGATTATGGTAGGAGATAAATTAACGTAAACTACGACAATAATGCAACAATTCAATTAAAATTGACAAGAGATACGGATAGCGATAGGGAAGGATCGTTGTTTAGCATAGGACATATTTAGCCTAAATCTATTAGTCACAATCTTAGCAAAGGACACACGAATTGAAGCGGCATAAATCAAATTTATAGTTAAATCAATTACACACTCATGTTACGCGTTCTCCTAAATGTATGTATATGTGTATGTATATCCGCAGAGTGTATACTGTATCCTATAAAGTTAACGAATTTTTCGAATGTACTTCAAACTCCATTTAACCGCCACCCCGAAAGCGAAGCTACGTTCATTTCATTTGATACATCAAACTCGTGCAAAGTTACTACAAGTGCCGAAAGGTGCGCAACTACAATTACAATACATAGATATATCTAGATATTCGTGTTTAAGTAAAGGTTCTTGCCTGCTCTGTAATTACGTTGACTTGAAGGGTTAACTTCTCAAATATAAATTTCGCTTGTAAATACAACCACACAACTAGCTGGGCACGGCGATCGGCTTTAATGAGCATGCAGGGCGTATGCGCGATATTTTCTCATTACGCGTCTGTCTGTGTTCGCGGGACCACATAAATATTTGCACAGCGGCCGAAAAAAGGAAGCTCACGCACACTCCGGAGGCCCACAAACATGGCGAATGCTTTGGGACGACACACAGGCGCATAAAAATCGGGCAGAGGAAAAAACCAACGCGGCGTATGTGCAATGTATTTCATTTCCACGCCGCAACGCCGTCTGGGGGCCTCCATGCAATTATCTGTGTGCGCGCAATTTATCTCATTTGCGGTTGAGTTATTTCCGACTGCAGCAAATAATACTGCCATCGTCCCGATCTTATGTATGTATGTGTGACTTTTTTTTTTTGCGCCCTGGCAGTCTGTCTCTACCCCCTTTGGGCGCCACCCTCTTCTGCTGCCGCAACACACTTTTCCGCTTAATTTACTGGCAGGCGGCAGCTGCCTTCGCTGCATTGTCAGTTGACAACAGCAATTGCTGCATAATGCATGCCCAGGACTCTGTGTAAGTTCTCCTGTCACCGCTTCTG